TACTTAATGTCCAAGAAGGCAGAAGAAAAAAATTAGAACCCAGATTAGTCTGATGTAGCACATTCTCTTGTGATTATTTCGATTTCTTGGATTTCACTTCAGAGGTTACTCTTATTTGGGACAGGATGCCAACTGTTGTCACTTAAGACACATTTCACAGCAAAGCATTGTTCTGGATCTCAGGGAAAAACACTGGTCTTTCTGAAAATCTTAAATTCTCAGAGTCATCTTATCCACTTTCTCCCACCATAGAGAATAACATGTGTTTCTCATAAAGTTGTACATGTTTATCAAATATGTAAATTAACAAATACCACAGACATTTTTGTATTATAAAATATATATGAAATATTTTATATTTAATAGGGAACTTTTCTTCATCAGAAAGGGGGTGGAGGTTGGTCCATGCACTAGGACCTTCCATCTGGAGTGGAGAATTCCATTCCTGGCCATTCCTGGCCCAGGTCCAAACTGTAGGCAATTGGCCCACCTCTTCCTGACTCCCTTTCTGAGTGGGCGGAGGAAGCAGAAGTACATGCCATGCAGTCACGGGAGCCCGGAGATTCAGCTCATCCATGTATCTTCCGTGCAGTCCTTGAATAATTAGGACATGCATAGATTTAGGATATCAAACCCCAGGGGAGGGGTGGGCATGTGTTCTCTGAAGAAGCCCCCATTCCCACCCCAAGGATATGATACACCTGTTACCTATTCACAGAGTTAGTTAGGCCTGCTGGGAAGGTTGAAAATATTACTCGAAATGAATTACCATTTGATTTAGCTATCAGTTAGCATTGTTGTTGAGTCTGTTGTTAATTCATAAATAAGCACATAATTATATCCTTTCTATCATCTTTGTACATCTCCTAATCAATTCCACTCATAGATTGTCACTGTGGATCTTCCTTCCCGCGTGGAATGCAACCCCTGCCCCACTAGACCTAGCTCAAGGCTCTCTTTATGAAACCTTCCCTGATGGATTCTCCCAGTGTTGTGAGTTTCCTTACGATTGAATCAACTCTACGTCATGTAACTTACATCTCAAAGCAAAATAGTAATTAATTCCTATTTAGCACTCACAACATGCCACTTACCATTCCAAATGCTTTTCAAATGTTAACTTGTTCCACATGCATAAATCTCTATGCGACAGGTACCATTTTTATTCTCTGTTTGCAGACAAGAAAAGTGAAGGCCTGAATGGTCACTCCATTTCTGCATGTCCCACCACTTGTCAGAGTTATAAAACAAAGCTGTGCGTCTGGGCATCTGGTCCAGTCCCTCTCCATGGGCACTCCTCTCCAGGGGAGGCATGAATGCGAGAGCACTCCCTGCCAGTGACTCCTGGCTTCATACCAGAGTGATCTGCAGAGCCTTTACAAATTAAAAGTTCCCGGGTTTCCCACTCAGAGTCTGTGATTTAGTGGATCAGGGAACGTCTTCAACTTCCTTCAGTGCTTTGAGGGTGAAGCCAAGTTTGGGGAACTTCTTTCCTGTAGCACGATCCTAAGTGCACAGTAGGGGTAAAATGAATGTGTGTGTGCGTGTGTGTGTGTGTGTGTGTGTGTGTGTGTGTGTGGATTGCCTAGCAGAAGCCTCAACATCAGAGTTCTCAGATGTATGTGAGTCTGTAGATCATATGACAAGTCACAGACAGAGGAGAGCTGTCACCTATCCTATCAGGTATGGAAAATTTTGACAATGGTTGGTAACTGATTTTAGGGAAATTTATTGTAATTTAAAATAAAAACTTCTAATTGGAAGGCAAATTTCTCCCCAAACTCATGCTTCCAGTTTTGTCACTTGCCTAGGTACTGAGTCCTCTTGCAGGTCAGAATGTGCCCAGACATGCTCGTGGGTGACGCTGATGTCCAACACTCCGGAGGGATGGCAGTGAGCCACAGAACGCGGAAAAAAAAGCTGTTCACTCTTGGTGGAGAGGTAGCCTTAGACTCTATTAAGTTAGTTGTGTCACTGTGTATCAAAGTCCGAGCCAAACACTTTTTTAAAAGTACAGCACTTTGTTCATGGTGTGGTGTCCACTGGCGTTTTGTTTGGTCCAGAAGATGGACAATCAGCCGATGGGCCTCCCCAGTGTGTGAGTCTCACTGCCCTTCACAACCTGCTTCCCCTCCACCAGAACTGAAGAAAGATATTTTAATATGAATTCCTGCTCCCTGCAAGTTTCCAGAGTTCACATCTTTCTCTCTGACATCAGAGCAAAACACAAAACGGCAAAAGATCCCAGGGTAGCAACTATGCGGGATTAATTTCCCTTTCTTTTGGCCCTTCTCTCCTCCTCTAAGGGTTAAGTCTGTGGAGGGAAGGATTGCTAGACTTTGTGTCTGTGCTTGGTGGGAACTATTAAATTACTGCTGGATGTTTTTGATTATACCACACATCAGTGCTTGAGCACTGAGGCCCTGGAAGCCACATGTGCCTCGCTGGCCTGGCCTGCGCCTGCGCCTGGCCCCCGGCACCCGGCCCCACACTCGCTCGCGGGGGCCTCTCCGTGGCACCGACACAGTGCAAGGATGGGAGCTGGTGCTGGCAAAGCGAAAGGAAACGGGCAATAAAACTGAGAGCTGAGCGGCTTACTGGAGCCAGGACGCTGGGGTCTGCTTAATTGCTCCGAAATGAAAAAGATTCGGGGGTTTTCATGAAATCCCATAGGTACACTTGCCAAGCCTCAAATATTAGATTGAATTACAGTTTCTAATCCCTCCCCTCTCCCTCAGCCATGTGTCTTATTTCTTTTAGAGGTTTGTCCACAGCTCTGGGCCGGGAGGAGAAAGGTTAACCTGAGCGGTAGCCAGGCTTTCCCAGGTCCCTGCAAGCACACAGAGGTGCCCTCTGGGAGCTCTCCATCACTGGGCATCCGGCATCCATTGGTGCCAGTGCTCCAGAAACATTGAGAACAAAGGTGTGTCCCCCAAGGCCTAGGGGCGGCCATGCTCTGGGGGTCACCAGGGTCAAAGTGTACAGATCATTTCTCTGGACAGAATTGGTATCTTTTATCAGAGACTTAAAGGAGTCTTGCAAAAGTTAAGAAGTACTAATAGAGAAAACAGAAGTATGGTAACACAGTTAGGGATTTTCCTGGGGGAGAAGAGGATTTTCTGGACTGCCTAAAGGAGGAATGGGAAAAGTGGACAAGGTTGCTGAAGTCAGAAGGGTAGTAGATAGTCAGTATCCAAATGACAGAGAGGGGAGGGGGCACAGCATTCTCCATCTGACCTCAGCGGTGGGAAGTGTGTCACTGAGCAACTGAGGGCAGGAAACCTGGCTGCGGTAGAAAGGATGTAGCATGAAAACCAGCCCGATGAGTCATGCAAGATGAACACTGGCCTATAATAAGAGCAAAGAGCTGTTAGAAGGGAGAAGCCAGGAGCACAGGGAGGTATAGGAGGGATGGGCGGAAGGGCAAGCGGGGCTGATGGTGTGGCCTGCTGCTCCCAGTTCATACTGGCTTCACACTCTCCAGGCAAAACCTGGGCGTGGCGGACATGCTAGTGTGACCTCTGAGACTGAGCTCAGAGGCAAGGACTCGTTCTTCAGGCAGGTTTTATCTTCTCCGGGGCTTTTGCCTAACTCACCTTGTTTGTCTCACAAACCTTCAGGTTTCTTTTTATGTTTTGTGGAATAAGTGTATTGGGATTGTTCCATAAGACACAGGCTTCAGGGTCGGGGGGTGGCAAGCACCGAAAGGAACTTTCCTTCTGGGTGATAGAAACTCTCCAAATTTTCAAAGCATTCTTAGGTGAAAAAAAAAGGCACTGAGGTCTGTTTTGAGGAAATGCGCAAGAAAAGTGATAGGAAGACTGAGAGTAACAGTGCCATGGTATGAAATCAAGGAAACTTTGGAGACCGTCAAGATTAATATGTAAGGAAAACAGGGGAAGTCTACCTGAGTGTGAGCTACTGATTCCATCATCACGAGTGAAGAGGCTCTTTGTTTTCTAGTTCCTAGTTTACTGAGCACATGGCTTAGCGTAAACTGAATCTGGTGATTCGGTTCTTTCCTGCACTCACACCACTAAGTTCATAGTGTCTTCTGTGGCAGGGTATTTACTACTGCCTGGAGGTGGCACCTCCATGACAAGGGCACCATCGCCGTCATGACGGTCTTCCTGTCCCCCATGTCTTCCTGCCTCTCTGTGGTCTGACCTCGTATCTCGTGTTCCGCTCATCTTTGTGGTTGTATGTCATGGGTTTTTCCAAATCAACTCTGTGTGGTCTTTTTGTGGTTTTGTTGGTGGATGAAGGACCTGCTTCTGTGACAGCACGGCCTTCTAGAAGTAGTCATCCGGACTTTCAGTGTGTGCTGTTCCCTCAAAGAACATTGGTACCCCATGCTTCCTTGGCAGACGGAAAACTGGGATCTTGTGACATAGTTGCCATGGGATGATTCTTGTTCCCAGGGAACAACATGATCTTCAAGGTAAGGACAGTAGCTAAACCTCAGGGTGAGGAAAAGCACTGTGGAGGCAGAGAGGCAGATGAGGCACAAAAGGACAATTCAAGTGACTGTCCAGCTTCCCCAGCCTTTGGAGAGATGAACTTTCCAGATGCCCTTATTCCCAGCCTTGTGTCTTCATGTGAAGAAGGCCCACACATCTCTCTCTGGGGGACCACAGGCTTGTGAGCTCTTCTTCAGAAGAACAGCACTCACTGGCAGATCTGGTGAGCCTGAGCCTCGTTCACACCCACATGGTGAAAAAGGGGTCTCTGTGTCTTCCCTCTGCAACTGGACAGAAGGAAGGAGCAGAGAAATAACACACACTCTCGTGGGGACACCGTGGGCTTTTTCACATACATCATTTGATTTAACCTCCCAGGAACTTCCTAGGAGCTAATTATTATTCTCATTATTTTAAATAACAAAACTAAAGCCCAGAAGAATATTAGTTAACACTAGCTGTTGTAACAAATAAACCCCGAAATGTAAAAGGTTTTAAAAATGACAGAAGTCTATTTCTCATTCATTTAAATCCCAACAGGTGTTCCTTCTCAAGGGGAACTCTCCTCCAAGCGGTACTTCAGAGATGTGGTTCCCTCCACTCTTGAGACTTAAATCACTTTCAAGTCTTCTGCAGTGCTCTGGCTCCAATGGTGAGACTGATTTGAAAGAAGGGTATTTTAGAACTGGAATGAACCATAGCAATAAGTAGTCCAAACTCTGTATTTTATTGATTAAGAAACTGAGATTCAAGAAGATTGAGGGATTGGTCAAGTCCTAGATAGAGATAAGATTTCCCCCCTCAGTAAATTAAAACAAACAAACAAACTACAAATTCAATTCAGCTTTTATTTGTAGATATGAAGCATAGGGGTTCAAAGTTCCAGAAATCCTTGGTATGAATATTTGGGCAAGGAGAAAATAATGCATGTGGCCGTAGGCAGTGTAGGAAATGCCTTTGAAGGGGGGTAACAGTAGGTGCTTTTCTCTGCCACTTCAATTCTCACCTGCTTTTCAAAATATTTGTTTCTCTCTATTGACTAACAGAAAGTGTTTCCAATAGGTGACAAGTGGGGTTTCCTGATTCATCATCACAAGGGCAAATCTGATTATGTCTTATCTTTGGTATTCCCTATATTCCCATGAACTGCAACTTGGAGCAGGATAGGAAAGAGAGAAAGCAAACGTTTTGCAGATCTTTATCAGGTTCCCCTGAGGGAAGCAGGAGAGGAAAAAGCTTGTAAGACTAGCATGCAAGGACTGGCTAGAAGAGAAGAGGGGTAGTGGATAGAGAGGAACCCAGTTTTATACAGAAAACAACAGCAAAAGATGAGTCAGGATAGTTCTGGTGCAAAAATATACAGGGAGGGGATGAAGAAGTGATAGGGTAAATATCACCCTTTGATTCACTTCTATCTAGAGCCACAGAATGAAATCACTTCTCTCCCTAGGAGATTAAAATCCAGTCTCTCTGTCTCCACCACGGAATGTCTGCCTTTCTCATTAACTGGACTTCCATATGTGGTACGGGATGACCTAAGCTGTGGAGGGCAGCGAGCTGACCAGAACAAAGGTCAGATTGTAATCTCCAAGCATCAAATCTATTTTTTGTCCACACTCTCAACATCCACTTCCTACCACCAAATAAAAGGTAGAAGAAAGAACAACATAAAACTGTAACAACAAAAAGGTTGTGATGTGAAATAAAGCCCTGGAAATGTCCATCTGCTGTTATCAACGCGTTTGGGACTAAAATCTTTACCACTAATTCCTGTTTGGCTGTGGTGGTGTGCAGGACAGCCCTAGGGAAATCGGTAACGGG